CTACGTTGAGAGGCGCCATAACAGGAATAGCAAGAAGAGAAATGTATCTAACTGCCTACCGTCTCATTTACTAGAGTGCCGTCACTCTCTTATACCTCATCATGGATCTTCTTCGGCTCTGTACGCAGAGAACGGCTTGGTACCAAGGCGCTATCGAACACACTGAGAGGCCTCGGATATGCATCTCGGAGCAGTCGAGAGAGAAGGTCGTCCAGTCGGAAGCGACCAAGATGGGTGTAGTTACTGGGTGTATCTGAGGGGAGATACGTTAAGTTCTGCCCGCATGGTTTTTGGCTTTTGGTGAGGAGTTCACGCCGGGACAACACCACGCGAAGTGGCATGAATAGGCGTTCTTGACGCCACACTTTTGTAGCGCATCCGGAGATTGGCCGTCCTCCAATGAATGCGATGGGTAGACAGGCCCACTATTCGTGGCGGTGCCATCACCGAGCGGTGCATGACTCGATTGTAGAGCTCGGAGAGGGGGAACAACCTAGCAGACGCAAGCCAAGTGATTGCTGTGGAGAGCCAAGGACGATGATGCGCTCCGGGGCGGCTGAACCAACTCCTAGGATTCGGGGGAAAGTATCACAGATGCCGTTCGACGGCCAGCAGGCCGCGAGTGGCTGGAATGGCCCATCCGGCCTCCATTTCGGCCGAAGTCAAACGTACAGTATTCCCGGTCTGAAACATGCAGGAAGCACAGCTCTAGATCACACGATTGATGAGGTGAGAGGGGAACGGAGAGGGTTAGAAGTCAATGTCGACCCGCTAAGTTTATGGAGATACGGCAGAGGCGGGCACAGGAGGGCTGGCTGACCCGGAGGTTCGTATGGTGATTTCGCCGAGAGCATAGGAAGCGGATCGTTGATGAAAGAATATCGTAATCATTGTCATTATCACTGCTCTGTGATCTAGTCTATCCAGCAGCCAGCCAGCCAGCGCCATTCTTTATTATCCGCAGTATACCAGACCGTCAGAACTTCTGCAACCAAGCAGACAAAGAGAACAAGAAAAGGAGAAAGAGAGAAAAAAGGAAGAAATGAGAGGCATTTGCAACATCCACGGCCTTTTGCGCGGTATCCAGGTCGCTAAGGAGATGATTAAACAGAGGAAAGAAACTGAGTGAGAGGCTTATGCGACATTCGCGATCGATAATGCCGTTCCTGGAAGGCCGAGAAGGAGTAAGAAAGGGCGTCAGAGTCTTCGCAGAACTCGCGAGCATAAGTATTGTCTCAGGGACGTCGATGGACTGATTGGATAGAGGAGAAGAATTAAGCGAGCGGTATCCGCAATTATTGTTGCCGTCTCCGGGACGGTGGGGAGTTCATTTTTGATGACAAGTAGTGTGGACAAAGAGAGAGAGGCAGAGCCAGTGAGTAATTTCGCAATCGCCGCGGCCTTTGGCGCGGTCCCCAGGATGCTGAAGTAGTGATCGGACAAAGGAGAGAGAGACGGATTGAAATGAGCGACCTTTCTACGCTGTCACCCAGGACGTCGTCGAAATAGAGCAAGCTTTCTCTAATGAGTGCTGGTGGAGTTCCCATAGTTAAGGAAGTCTGCAGAGACTGGGGTAGCTGTGGACGTGATGGACGAGTGGCTGGTGATCGTGCTAGTGATTGCGGCAGCGGCGGCGGTGGTGGTGGTGGTGTTGAGAGAGGAGCTAGACGAGGCGATGATGCTTGCGAGAAGCGTGCTGGTGGACAGGTTGGAGATTGCGAGAGCGCTGGCGATCGACGTTGCAGCGCTCGAAGTCCCGATGGGGCTGATGCTGGAGCTTGTGGCCAGGCTAGACGGGAGAATGAGAGCGGTACTGCTGCTGAGGACCGCTTCAGTGCTGGAGGGCACGATGGTGGAGGTGACTGTGATGGTAAAGATAGACGCGGCGCTGGAGGCCACTTCGCTGCCAGACGAATGGACGCTGCTGGTGTGCGCTGGGACAGTGGAAGCGAGTGCGGTTGTCGAAGCACTCTTCACAGCGGAGGAGCTCTTTTCGGGAGTTGAGGTAACAGAGCTCTTCTCTGGGATGGTGCTGATGGAGCTCTTCACAGAAACGGTGCTCTTCGCAGTTGAAAAGCTCTTCTCCGTAGCCGAACTTTTCACAGGAACGGCAGTGTTGGAGTTCTTTGCAGGAATAGAAGTGACCGAGCTTTCCGCGGTCGATGAAGCCTTGGGGAGGAAACGCTCTCCACAGCAGATGTGGAGCTAGGCACTGCGGAGCTGCTCGACGTGTGGCGGCCCCAATATCCCCAGCTCCAGCCCTCATGAGAGATGTCAACCTCACCACCCTTGGCCTCTCCTTTGTGCGTCTCGTCCTCGAACGCATGATCGTTGGCATGGCTGTTCTTAGGTGCGGCGTTGTCGGCCGAATGGCCAACAGCGAGATTGTTTGGTCCCGGCGTGGCTACTGCATGGTTGTTCGCGGTGGTGGTGCTCACTGGCTTCGCAGTGGCGTTTGCGGCACAAGCGGCCAGGATGGCAGCGGTGTATGCAGTTGTACGCATTCTTGCTTTTTGAAGGAAAGTAGAGAAGAGGAAAGAGCGACTTTGTAGTTAGAAGTGAGAGTGAGTTGGGATCCTGGGTGAGAGACTGAAGCAGTTTCGCGAGTTGTGTATATATATGTCTGTTCTGGTCTGTAACATCAGTCGTATTTCAACGCATAGCATTTGGCATGAGGGGGTCCTCGGCGGACTCTATGCGATATTCGGGACAACGGTGTTAGTGCCTTGAGCGTGCCATGTGTTCAACGGCACGTCTAGATCTTGACTTGCCATACCGGTATTCCAACCATATGGAATATACTTACCGATTGGTTGGCGACAGGTAAATTGACTCCGGAATCCGTGGGTAGGATTCGGGCGAAGCTCAACGGCCACAATCGATATACAACTGTCATTTTATCAACCGTTGCAGCGTTTCGATAAGTATAACAGTGACTCGATAGGCCATCTATAATGTCGCAATAGAAGCCGTAGTTCCTTGCTTGTGGGCATAGTCGTATTTGCGATAGCCTCATCCGAGACACTACTGGAAAAGTTTTATAGTTCTGGAAGTCCTATTTGATTGCACCATTCCTACCGTCTGTTCTGGACTGGTCCGAATGTCTACGCGAACAAATGCCTGAGACGTAAGCTCAAGGAGAAGACTGAGACAACCAGGTAGGCGTGATTTCCTCTGGAAGCCAAGAAAGTGTTGAGCCTCGACGTCTTCTGAATCTCTGCACCCTGACCACAGGGAGGGTTAGGTAGCTGTCTCGGCAGTCTACATCTCGGTAAGATGCCTGTCTTGCTGGACACAAATTTTTCTCATCCATATGCATCCTACACCTCCTCTTGCTTCTCGCTGCGGTGTCCGAATGCAAGACGGGGAAGTTCATGAGAGCTTTTGGACCGGATAAGACGTCTCATGCATGGGCAATTCTCTTACTTATAAAGAGCTACTGTGCTGAGTAAGGCGGCGGGTCCGATCGCATCCTCATATGTCGAGGGTGAGATGGCACAAGGAGAGGCTGCCGAACTCCAGGCACTTCCACAAGCATTTCGGTCCGCTCGGCCCGTTTCGGACCGCCTTGGCTAGACGCTCCGCGAACTCGAAAACTTCAACTCCCTTTGAACCTTTTATCACCCTGCATTCCCTTGTATGCAGCGTCGAGTTTGTACGGATGGTACGAATTCTACACGATGTCTATCACCGCGGTCGATTCGTCTGCAAGCTTCAGGAACTCCATGATCGATATGGTACAGTTCTTTTCAGACGACCAGCGACGAGCCATTGCCTCTTTCGCTCTAGAACAACTCCCCGCATCCAACTAAACCTCCTCTCAAGGTCCAACAATCCGTATCAACCCCCACGAGATGCATATCCGCGACTCCGACTACTACGAGGAGCTCTATGCGCTGGCACCCGGCCTCAAAACGTCGCGACAGATACGGTCCCTGGGTAAGACCGACGGGTGCGCCTACATCTAGTTTCGCAACAGTTCCTCACGATCTGCACCGACTCCGGCGCGGTGCCCTTAACCCCTTCTTCTCCAAACGTGCCATCACCAAGGTCGAGCCGCTCATAGTAGACAGAATAGAGCGCCTCTGTGGTCGTTTCTCCTCCGTCACTGAGACGAACAAAGTCATCCGCCTTGATCACGCTTATATGACACTTACTATGGATGTTGTCACCCACTGCTGCTACGGCACCAGCTTTGACTATCTAAAGGAGGAAGGCTACAGAGCCAGCTGGAAGGAAAGCGTAATCGCGAAGATGGCTAGTTGCGTCGTGCTACGACAATTTCCCGCTACAACAATCTCCATATCCACTGCTTAAGCGTATGCCCGTCTCCCTCCTAAGATGGGCAGACCCGAAAGCGGCAGCGCTGGCCGATCTGCAGCAGATGGTGCGTACAAAAGCCGAATCCGATATTGCGGTCCGACGCCTCGGGAACAAGGCCGCGGACACAGTTCTCCAAGCCATCATCGACAACACAGAGCTGCCGCCGCAGGAGGAAATCGCAGACAGACTGCAGGATGAGGAGCAGATCCTGGTGGCCGCCGACAGTGAGATGACGGCGAAATCGCTCTCCATCATCACCTTCTACCTCTGTGGAGACAAATCCACGAACGCGACAGTGAGGTGCTGGCATCATATCCAGGTGCTAGGGAGAGTTTCGGGCAGCACAAGTGGCGACTAACGACAAACACATTGGTCTGCAAAAGAAGCGCGAATATGAATGTCTAAATTGCCCTAATCTGCTTCCATATCTATACTTCATATGCTGCTCGAACGACAAGGTGCGTCTCTCGTCTCTCCGTCCGTTGCGCCGGGCCCTTGGTGCTCCTACACACCCTCCATGTCAACATCACCATCCTCCTCACCGTTCTTCCAAACCCCTCAGGCCATACGCCATCTTCCATGCGGTCTTCAACCTCCTCCGGATTTGGAGGAGGAGGATCCCCTTTGCCGATCCGCAGTCTAAGTACCCCTCAAACAAGGCAAAAAGATGGGAGGAGAGGTCATACCCGGGATCGAACCGGAATTACCGGAAGATGACAAATAGCTCAGAATCCGATGTGCTAGCCATTACACTATACGACCGAGGACGAGGGCAGCAACTGCAACCAGCATCTCCATGCCTTCCGAAACGGGAAATTGAACCCCGGCCGCGCCGGCTCGTGTCGAAGAACAACCCGTTGGGTAGTGGCTTCTACATGAGAGCGGCGAATCCTAGCCACTAGACCATTTCGGATGATTGTAAATCGACTTGATGAAATCATGAAACCGCCGGTCCTGCAGAGACGATATGTTCCTTGCTGCACGGGATGAGAGCGAGTGCACCTCCAGCCCAGAGAATCAAAGTTACTCGTAGTTTTTACGGCCGAGGATGTCCTTAGCGACTGCATTCGGCCCGATGCCATTGCCGTCGGTTCCGAAGGGGAAAATGTTGCCTGGCACAAGAGGGACGCAGCTGACGAGGTATACTGTGAGTTGTTTCCTTTTCTACGCGGCATTGTCCGTCTTGAACTCCGGGTCGATGTTGTTGCACATGTGTTGGAAAAGATTTGGAGAAAAGGGTTCGACGAAGAGTGCGGCTTGGCGAGAAGCGATAGTAGCCCGGCCCAGCCCAACACTCCCCATTCACGAGGGTCTTGTAATACAATTTGATTGGATCTTCCACGTTCGGCCATAGGCGGCTGAGAACTGGGCATCCCGTTCGCTCTGCCATACATAAGCAGTCGACCGACGAGCTAGTACTACAATCGGTGACGGTGTGGGAATCCTCGTTGCTGAACGTTTTGTTACATCTTTCTGCATACCGCGTGAGTTGTTAATGTGGGTTGTACCGAGATTAGATGGCTGCTGCTGTGCATTCTTAACTCTCGGCTTTGTTGTGTAAGTAGATATAACATATCCTGACTTGCTTCGCCTTGATTAGGAGATCCGTAACAGAGACTTGATCTTGTATAGCGTCATGACGAGGTTGTAGAAGTAGATAATAAGCAGGAAAAGCAGGAGCGCTGTGCTCAGCCCCCGAAAGGCGGGAGAATCCATCGCCACGGACAGGTTGATTAGCGCTGTAGTGAGCACGCCTGCACCCGGACTCGGTCAGTATTGCATGAGCAAAGAGAAAGGCAATTGTGACTGCTCACCCATCGGGAAGATCATGCTCCACCAGGTCAGATTAAAGGGCAATTTATGCAGCATGGCTTCGATCACGATGTACCAAGCCACAGTAATCCAAAAGAAGGCAAACCCGACAACCAGCAAAGCGAGCAGCGTGCCTACTGCCGATACGACTGAACCGGCTGATGCTTCGAGGAACGTGCCCTTGTGATATTGGGAGAAGTCGGCTTTGGTGTACGCCGCGGTGCCAAGGACTTGTATGGCTGTGGCGAATTGACCTAGTGGTCCGACCTGCGAGGTGCGATTCAGTGAGAACTGATAGACAACTATGAGAAGGACGAGAGGGCCGAGGACATACGGTGATGATCATCGTAGGCGTCTTTGCAAACTGGGGCGGGCCCTCGGTCATGAGACGATGCAGGTAGACGGAGTAGAACATGATGGACAGAAAGAGTGCGTAGCCGATACACATGTATGACACGATGATGACCGGGACAGCCATTCGCGCTGATATGTGGTAGGAGTAGTTCACGACAATGCCGCCCGTAGTCCCGGCCGTCATCACGGAGATCAGAGGAAGGAAGATCGCCGGCACTATGTTGCGGTCGTCCGTGATGCTACGTTTCGTCAGGATGACTACCGTCGCCGAGCACAGCGTCACCGTCCATGCCATCCCAATCCACCAGAATACGTAGGCTGCGATGGTCCAGCCATGACCCCATGCCGTGCTACAAGTTAGACTGACTTGGCCGACAAGAGTCAGGTACGCGACACAGGGCGCGGCAAGGTAGGAGGTCTCCTCGATCATGCTGATGGCTTGGTTGCGTGCGTGTTCGGTAAACAGAAATAGGCGGGCAAGGCCAATGCAGGAAAAGATGGCAAAAAGACCGACGTTGAATGTGAACATTATCGTGGACAGGATCCCGAGACCGCGGAACTGGTAAGGCAGGAGGTGTAGGATGATGGAGAGAATCCCGGTGTCCATGGATATGAGCCACCTGAAGAGTAATTAGCAATGAAACGTCGTGCTACACAGTCCAGGACCATTTACCATATTGGTGAAAAGTCCTTGATCACCTCCCTGATCGTACGTGTGCTCTGTGCAAGGGATGGTGCACCATTTCTTTCCTTGCCGTTGTCCATCGCACCACAGAGTGAGCGGAGGACCCTCGGGAAACGTAATGGAAGGAAATGGATGCAATAGAAAACTCAACGCATGAACGTGCAGTGCAAACTCAGGTTTGTCTTGATGTCCGTCTGTCAGGGATACCGTTAAGCCATGCCAGCCGTGTTGACACGGTACGTCATAGTGAAGCATAAGCGCCTCTCATAAACGCTATTGCAACCCGGGACGCGTATCGGATCCCCGAGGGATGAGAGAGCAGCAACACAGCCACTGTGCATGTGTTGTACTCCGGGCAATACACAAAGTTCGTCCAGGCTGCTGAGAAGGCAGACAACATGTCGTTCTCTCGAAAACATGTCATTCATTGGAGTTTCTAGGGATTTTCCTTGGCGAAGGGGATCTGCTTCCGGGTTTGGACTTGATCATGCCCGAGTATACATCATACCCGCCAACGCGCAGGTGAAGCCCTACGGCAGCACGTAAAGTGTTTCCAGATACTTCGCCAAACAGAAACGGTCTAAGAGGGGTAGCAATTCCATCTGGATCAGTGCAGGTATTCTGGGAAGCCTTAGTCATCAAGATGACCGCTCATAGAAATTCTACCAGATCGTGTGTTAGATATTGTTTTGCTGCTCATGTACGAGCATTGAGCATGCGTTCGCCACGTGAGAGGAAATTCAGGGCTGCAAACGATGAGGAGCAATGTACGAGATATGCTACGAGGTCATGGTTAGCGTACGACAAGCGTCTTCATAAGTGCTTCACTGCTAGGAGGTCTGACTAGGAGATCTGACGCTGACCGGGAGAGAGAATTCTAATCTAGACGTAACTCCCAGCTTCGACGACACTGACGGCAACGTCTATCCTTTTCCATCTAGATCGGAAGCCTTCCCGCCTTTGCGTTTGTCGTAACCCCGGCAACTGTTCGTCACGTGAGTAGTGTTGCTCAACTATCCTAGGAAGTGACAAGGGATCTGCTCTTCGCTGCGCTGATAGAGACTACAAGACAACGGGTTTCTGGCCTTCTCTTCTTTCTTGTCTAATGCCACAAGCAGAGAAGCAACCTCTTGCTTTTGCCTGGCAAGCCCGCCGCATCTTTCCAATTTTCCTTCAGTGCTCCAAGCGTCGCCGTCAGCGGCGAAGGCAGTATCGGCGTTTCATTCCCTCTTACTACCTTTGCCTCGACCTACCTGTGGCTTTCCTTTGTGTGCAGGGGAGCTCGCCTCTGCACACTAAAGAGGGAACAGCACTAACGTCTTCATCACACGCGAGCTCCAAGGATCGAACGTGAGGGCAGCAGTCCTGAAAAGCGCCGCACAAACGAGCTGATTTTGGAGCTATGCCTTTCCACAGTGCGCTGCCGACTGCTCATGGAGCACAACTACAGCTTCAACGGGCAGCATAGTTTGTTCATGTCTTAGACCCGGCGTACATGGCGCAGTCAGGCTGACAGAGCCGGGTTCAGAGATGATTGGGACTGAACCCGTTACAAAGCAAAGCTAGACGTGCGCAATACAGAGAGGAATAAAGATCGCTCGCGCGTCACAAGCAGCGCCATCAATGGAGCCAGGGCACGGCTTTTAGGCTAAGTCCACTTCATATACCCCATGCAGCCGGGCATTACCCCGTTCGTCTGTAAGTCCGCCATGCTGCTTTAACTCCGTGACACGAAATGAATGACGGAATATATATACATAACGCGTGGAGAGAAACAACAAAACGTCCAACCCACTTCATACAACATCGTAGCCTCTACTGTTGTGCTAAGGCGAGCCATATAAGTCATGACAGACCAGACACTCATCCTCGTTACCGGCGCCAACCGCGGCCTGGGTTACTACGCTGCGCAGCAAATGGCCGCGACAGGAGGATACCACGTCCTTCTCGGCGCCCGGTCCCTAAGCAAAGCAGAGGACGCAATCAAAGAACTAAGCTCTGACTCTTCCGTCAAGCTCGATACAAAGTACATCTCACCCATAGAGATCGACGTCACATCGGACTCCTCCATCCTTCAAGCCGTAAAGACGGTGGAGCAAAAGTACGGCAGACTCGACGTTCTCCTCAACAACGCCGGAATTGCACACGCGCAGAGCGGAAAGGTCGAGGATGGAAGTCTGCGCAAGGCATACCAGGCTCACTACGACACCAACGTTTTCGGTGCGGCCGCGACGACCGAAGCTTTCCTACCCTTGCTGCGGAAGGGCAAGAACAAGCGTCTCGCCTTCACTTCATCCGGGCTCAGCTCCTTGAAATGGGCAAGCGAGATGGAAGGCCCCGCGAGCGGGGAGAACTATCCCATTTACCGGAGCACAAAGTCTGCGCTGGATATGATTGTTGTACACTATGCGCGCTCGCTCGAGAAGGAAGGATTCGTTGTGTCGTCTGCGGATCCGGGATATTGCGCCACAAACCTGAATGATTTCCAGGGGTTCAAGGATCCGAGGGAGGGCGCGAAGGTGTTGATCAGAGTCTGCGAGGCCGGGAAGGAGGAGGTGCATTGCGCGAGGGTTGATGAGACGAGCAAGGAGCCCTGGTAGTGGTGCAGCGGCCGAAGCGGTTTGTCTCATCAAGAGCAGCAAGGCTCGATGCTGGGAAGACTGGGCTGCTTGAGAGCTAAATTTGTGGTTTGAACCGAAGGTCAACAAAATTCTATGCAGCGAACTGACGCTCTAATGCACGCAGCCCTCGGAAAGATCAGAACCACTTCATTGGCGTGCGTGCTGTTCAGTCGTTGCCGGTCCGGTTGAGCTCGAAAGTCCTCGTCATTTTAGACTCGTCACACCCACCCCGAGTGCCCCTCGTTTCGCCCGAGATATTCTGCCTGCTCCCACCCCTGTTCCCTCAATGTCAGGCACACTTCCGGCACCGGATAGCGGAGTATCGAGATCGGGAGCGTCCGGATCCGCCTTCACCAAAACCTTCTCCCTTTCCTCCTTCACCTCCTGATTAGCGCCCACTTTCCCATCCTCATCCTTCACTTTAACCTCCTTCTTGACCTT